CTAACATTTCAACATTTAATTGTGATTCATTTTAATAATCGTCCAAGGAGATCAATAAATACACACCTCGTTGCCCCCTGAGGATACTAAAAACTGCCAGTCACCTGCTCTTCACTTGAACCCCTCTCAGTGTGTTTAATGAGAGGGGGTTTGCCACGAGGGAAGGGCGAACATATCAAAAAGGGCTGAGCGAAGGCGTTTTTTTAGGTCCAGTTACGTTGATGAGTCTCTAATGCATTCCACAGGGATTGTTGACTTGGCTTTTTTGCAGCGTGAGGCTACAGCTTACCTTGAAAAATGCGCTGTTGTTTTCAGAAAAGAACTAGCTGGTACATTGTTGTTAAAAGTGCACGGTGTCACATTTCTAGTGAAGGGTCCGCCACCTGCTATCAACAAGGGAGACAAGCAGGTTCTAGCTCTAGGCTACATTACAATTCAGATCTGTGGAGTGTCGCTCTTATTCACAGAAGAAATTAATGTATTTTTTGAGCAATAGAAACACCTGTATTGATAAATGCTAGATGGATACGTTTATGGTCACACTATAGTACATTCCAGGCCAAGCAATAACATTTCCATGGAGATGAGCAGGTGGTGGATCCTCCAGAAGAAAAGTTGTGCAAGTTCACCTTTAAGTTTTGTCCTTTAATTCATCCAGACGAATAAGAGCAAACTGAAAGTAGATACTTGTAGACATTTTGTTTATGTTATTGCTAAAAACACCTAGAAAAACATGCATTCTTCCTGTGAGCAAGCTCGCCTCTCTACAGATCTGACCTGTAGGCTGGCCTCATTTTCATGGTGATTAAGTTTAATGCCATACTGTGCAACATTCCAAGAAACTAAATGCATCTCCATGAAGAGAAGCAGGCAGGATTCCCCAAGAAATGTTAGTGCAGCTTTAAACAAAACTAGAAACAAATCAAATCTCTTTCTTTCATTAACACAGTGTTTTCTTCAATATTGCTAGGTAAAAACATTTGTCAAACAAATAATAATTTGAGTCCTTTCCCTGGAGTTGTGATTCTCCATCTTGTATTGTTCTTACCCATCTCGTACATGACCAAACTTCATTTTACAGTGCATTGCGTTCTGTTCCGTTGCGACGCTCTTTCTGTTTTTTCCCCGACAATCTTTTTCTAACTTCATTCCTTGATTTCTTTCCCCTCATTGCTCTTGATTTGGTTTTGGTCTGCCCCGCGCCTCTCTCCGCTCTTCACTTGTCTGAAAAACTCAAGCATCAGATGAGTGAACTGTGCACGCATTAAACATGACACTGCAAACTACAATAAGCCTGTTGTCTATTGCGCATCGGACTGGCGTAATGACAGACAACAGAAGCATGTGAACAGTCAGTCAGTCAATTGAGACACACAGACTGTTATCATTACAGCCTGGGCTACCTTCACTAATCTCACTTTGCTGCTGTCAAAAAACCTATAACTATATGCAGTGGTTACACGTTGGGATGCTTAAAATGGCAGGCAGCAACATCAATGCAAGTTAAAATGCATTCTCTACAATGTAATGTACCAAATCAGAAATCCATAAATAAAGTGAATGAGTCATTTTGGGTATACAATAGAAAAGCCATTACAGGTCTTTGACTCCCGCAGGCAAACGCTACAGCTATTTATTATGATACATAAATATGTTTTAGCATGTGCGTAATCTATTGGCAGTACAGCTCCAGGAACCAGGCATGTGTGTCCATATAACAACTTCACGCCGCTCCATATGTATGTCTGTATTGATCTTTTATGCAGAGAAAGCAAGCACAAGGAAACATTATTTGTCATGTTGGATAAAATGACAGGCTGGTAACAGCAGTTGATTCTCTTGGTTTATAAATGGAAACTTGTGTAAAGGGCCCATATTGAGCTATTTTCTGATCTATGTTATAATGTAGTGTGTTATAGTGTTGTGTTTTATTTCATTCACATGTTTAACACACAAATCCTGCTTATTTAGGCGGTATTCTTCTCTCGGAGAAAACACCCTGTTCTACTTTGTGACATCATGTGGTAGCCTAATACTGGAAGTGCTTCATTGTGTTTTTAATTCCTGCATGCCTTTCTTAAAATTGAATGATTTCAGCTCTGGAAGTGGCTATCTCTCCTGAACAAAAGGTAGCTATTAACTTGGAAACTACTGCTTTAAGACATCACATGGTGGAACAGAGCATTTTGAGCTTTGGAGATGTAGACAGATTAATAAGAAAGCATTACTCAAAAATGTGAGAATGAAATGAAACAAAACACAACTATGTATTTTTTTTTATGAGGGAACAACATTGTAACATGACTTAAAGCTCACAAGAGTCAATATAGTGCATAATATAAGATCTTTAAAGGTACACCTTGCAACTTTTCTGGTGGAGGGTCCGCACATGCCTTTTGTCACTAGGGAGATGTTATTGCTTTGAGTGAATCTTCCACTAAATAGCATTAAACTTACCCTTCTCCCTGGAGACAAGACAAGCCAAGCCAGGATGAGCCAAGCCCAGTAGGCCAAGTTACAGGTCAGATCTAAAAAGATCTGCAGTTGAATAAATGTAGGAAAGACTTACAACTGATGCCATTTAACACTGGTTTATTTGCAAGTGATTTTACAGTTTTTTCAGTGTGTAACATACTGCAGCTTTAATGTACTTAGTCATATAATTTTGTTTATGGGCTTCATGCATGACAACATTTACTGTAAAACATTGTACCATGGATCAGGCAATGAGGCGGAAAGCAGAGGGCAGTAAAAGCCCCCGGACCGGTGGATGTGCCGAATTAGACGTGTCGGGGGTCGAGGGAAGGCGGGGACTGGACTGTAGGGCTTCCTTTCTAATACATGGTCCATTTGTTCAGTCCCTTAGGAGAGGGGCGGGGAGGGGGGTGAGGCAACTGAACATGGGCTATTAGCTGAACACGGGCCGCACCATTAAAGCAGCACACACAAGTGATCATGCAGTCACCGCTGACACTCTTGAACCATGGACCCCCACCAGTTCCTTACATCAGCAGGGCTCCTCCGAGAGATGCCACCAAGAGCTATGGGCTACAGCGCTATATTCATCGTTACATTATGTCAAAGCTAAAACGTTTGCCATTACTAACCTCACACTGGCCTTCATAGAAATAATAGTCTCTGCCGAAGGATACAAGGGCATATTTTGAGCGCTAGATAGTGTCAGGTTTTTTTTAAGCGAAGTAGATAATTGGGAATAGAAAGAGGTATTGAGGGAAGCTGTGTTCACCTCCCAATGTCAGGTTGGATCAGGAGGTTGGAGTAGTGGTGTGAGGACTGTGTGCCTGGGAGCTCCCCTGATTGCTTTGACACCCGTGGCATTCCCCATCACAAGAGAGGGAGAGAGAGAGAGAGAGAGAGAGATCACATGTGAGTAGAAGCATTGGGAAGGGCTGCAAGGGCTTCATGAAACATAAAGACTGAAAATGTTTGTCTCTCCTTCATGGTGTTTACTACTAGAAGACCTCATAGTTCATTCAGAGCAGTGTGATAATGGAAGCAAGCAAGCAAGCAAGCAGAAGAAAGCAAGTTTCAGTCCAATTTATAGCATTCATTATGTAGCAGCAGCAGAAAATTAGGATAGGACAAGATTTGGAAAACAATCTTTTTGCATCATCTTATAGGTTAAGAATTATTGTAATTTCCAGACTATTAAGCACACTTGAATATAAGCCGCATCAACAAAATTTGAAAAAAAAAAGAGGCTGCACCAGTCTATAAGCCACCAGTGTCCATGTCTTCAAGAACGTTTTCAAGTTCATGCCATCTGCTTTTATTGCCTCTGAAAGCTTTTGTCGTTGAGTCAGTACACGCTGCCATGGCCAACGTCTCACCATCGACTCATTGATGTCGAGCTCACGTGCAGCAGCTCTATTTCTTTCTTCGACAGCCAGATCAGTCGCCTTTAACTTAAAAGTTGCATCATCTGCATTTCTTCGTGTGTTTTCCATGAATAGAATGTGTGCATAAAGCACAAAATAACTGTTCAAACTCAAACTAGCACCTTCCTCGGCGCATCATCTCTTCCACCTGTCTGTCTCACAGGATTTCAGCAGATTTCAGGATCTCTTGGGGGCGGGGCTAGTTCTATCATTCAGGCATGATTGGATGTCCCACTACTCAAGTTTGAGACATTTCTTCTTGTCATTTATGCACCCACCTGCATTTAATGCATGCACCATAGTTTAAACTTCATGTAACTTTTCTAGTGGAGTGTTCACAACCACTAGTCTCCATGGAGATACCAGTCACATCTGTGGAGAAATAACCTTGTAAATTGTAAAATGTGTGATGCATGTTTTTCCAGGAATAGTTGAGCAAAAAACACATGCACTTGATAAAATGCAAGATAGGCAAATGTTAAATAGGTTAATACCATGGAACATTATAGGCAATGCAAACATATCTCCATGTAGACAAGCAGACAAACTCACCACCAGAAACAGTTATGTAACATAGTGCTCCTAGCATCAGGAAATATTTGAAAAACATGCTGTAGATGCTCTAGACTGAGAAAAAATTTAGCATTAGATATAATTTACTTCTAAACTGTGTGTCATTAAAATTTGCAATTTGTAGTAAAATAACTTCTTCAACAAACCCCAAGCCTATCATTTATTTTGAAAGTAACCCAAGGCATCAGCAGTCTGGGCGTCAAATGGCCCATTGACCACTGTTCTGTATACTTTGCCTGGGGAGTGAGATCAGCTCACTTTTGTTATGAAGTTATAAAATTGTATTGAGAAACCTGTGACTCCTCAGGGCATGCTAACAGAAAGCTTTCTATTACTTGTATGTGTAATTTTCTGTGGGGACAGCAATAACAACATGGCCCCACACCTGTTTACTGTTTTACTGAGGTGCCATTACCAAAATGGCATATTTTTGCCTTCTGGTTGCAGTGCATTTGGGTGTCATTTACAAAATATGAGGGAAATAACTTGCAAAGTAAATTCGCAAATATGCTTTTTCACAGTCTCTCCATTTCAGTCACCACATTCTTTTGATAATAACTTGCAATGACTTCTGCATTTTATTTTTCAATTGTTACATTTAAACTATTCCCCATCAACAAAAATAGAACAGGCTTTCATGGCAGTTTACAAGCTGCAGAGTGCTTATAAAAGTATTGTAGTTGTAATAATTATATTTTTTAATTCAAACACGCTTCCAATCATTCAGTATTAGTAATAGAAAATGAACAGGTGCTCTTGTCAGGTTATTGTTTGTCCCCATATTTTCCTGAATCCTTAGTCTTAACTTGTTTCCCATTACTTAATTAAACCACTCCGCCTTTCTTGTTTTAATAGAGTTATTGATGAAAACCTAGAAAAAGTCTGAGTAACAGAAGATGACATAAAGTGTAATTCTGGGAGCTCATTACATTAGAAAGATGAGATGGTGCGTATTGCGGTTTCACATTAGCAATCAAGAGTTTATGATATGAGCAGTGCTGGATCCCTTGGGATGCTGTGCAGCCCGATCACACCGCATTTTAATTAACTATTTGGCAATTAGTGCCACAAAGAGAATTAGGCTCTGTAATCGCCAAACCCCCATGGTAATTTATTAAACAAATATCAAGTCTGTGATAGCTCTGGAGTATGACTGTTAAGAGGTGGGCGCAAAACAGCCCTTGGCAGCTTTGAGTCAACAAAAACATTTGAGTGGGCATTATTAATTAAAACAAATGCATTTAATTTGTTGGGGAAGTTATGGGAAAATAACACGATATTTTTTGTGGAAAGATTATTAAATCGAGTGAGAGTGGCATCCTGAAAGCTGCTGACTTAATTCACAACCCTTCCACAGCTTGATGGCCCAGTGGTTGACAGGCTGTTGTTTCCCCACGTTGGGTCGTCAGGCTTAGGTAATCCTGACCAAGAATAGCTCAACAGATGAAGAGATGGGTCCCCAGGCTCCTGATAGGTCTGACCAGCAGCATTGAAGACTGGGTCAAATGCAGAAGGCAAAATGTTCCTATGGGAACAACAAAGTGTATCTTACTTTAAGAAACCAAGTAGATTTTAATTCTAGGATAAACTCCTTCATTTTCCCACAGTCACAAAGTTGTAGAGGGAATTGGATGTGATTGATTATGAGGCAAATTTTGTCTGTAAAAGCAAAAATCGCATTGTCTTGTCTTGTAAACACAAATACACACCTCATTGCCACTCATAAGTTACAGTTGTTTTTATTTGCCATAAAAAAGTAATGGATTTAGCAAGTGAACTGTTTTTAACCACCTTTGACATAGTGAATTGCCTTCTCCGTACCTGCTCCTACTGCTCTCCAATTTGCCTTGGCCAGCCGAGTGGAAATGAAGAATGATAGGCCTTGTAAGTGTCCACTCTCCACAACTGCCCCCTCTCTCTCTCTTTCTCTCTCTCCCTCTCTCTCTCTCCAAGTGTGCCACTTATTTATAGATGATGGGTACGGTGGATTAACACGAATCCCCAAGACTACAGTTGGGAGAAATGACTTTGAGGGCTTTTTGGCAGGCTCCAGCAGCAGTCCATTTCGCAGCACAAAGCCCAGCTGAGCCTTTTGGCCAAGGTTACAGACATGGCACTCATGGGTTTGTGGACGGCGCGTGACAGACGGAGACACTTTGTGCAGGATTCTGGGCTGCGCTGAGCCCTCATCACGTCAGGGAAGACACGCTCGGTTACATTGTCCAGACACATGATTTGTGACTCATTTTCAAGAGCTATGGGGGTGTTTCATAACACCTTGCTACAAATGTCTAAGGAAAAAGTCAGAAAATGTAATGTATGAGGTGGTGGTTTACAAATTCTAAGTGGGGGGTGTCCTTTGCCTAAAATGTATGAATTGTTTTATTTAGTATTGTCAATAGTAAATTCACAAATGTTGAACCTGCTCATTTGGCAAAGAGCTCCCTATATTACAGACAAAATCTGCATCTTATAAATATTCATTTTAGCTGCCCCTCCATCTGTTTTAACCCAGCAACAGCCTACATTAAATACAATATATCACAGTACCATATTATCTCTAGGGAAATGTCTCATTTTCATTGACAGGCTCCATCCTGATTTGTCAGGAGCCCTGGCACATGGCTGTGAATTGTCTGGGTGTCCTCTTCACACTGAGTATCTATAGCTATATTGCACTGAGTAATTATAACTGGTTTAGCCTGTATTCAGCATTTGAAGAGCAATGCTGTTGGTTCAAAACATTTACAGTTCAGATGCAGATAAAGGCGGCAGTGACCCTCAAAACATGTCCATTTAAAAGTACATAATATTACTGTTTTGTCTAATGTAGATGAACAACTTTAGTTTAATTATATTATCCTCATCACAAACCTCTCTCAGACAGAAAACACTCTGCCCCACCTTGTGATGTGATGTGGTAAAACAGGAAGTGCTTCACTCCATGCACCTTCACTAGAATCATTTGGATTATTTAAGACCTGTGATTGCCTGTCGCTACTGAACCAAAGATAAAAGGTAGCTGTTAACATGAAAACTGCTGCTTCATAACATCACAAGGTGGAACAAAGCATTTTGAGCTTGAGATATAGACAGACTAATAATAAAGGGTTGCCAAAAACTTGTATGAATGAAACAAACAACTCAAGGCATGTTTTTGAGAAGGTAACAAGATTTCAACATTCTAATGTGAATTAAAGCTCACAAGATTCAATTATGTGTAACATAGGACCTTTAATCAAAAGAGTTATTGTCCATTGACACAACTACTGTATGTTCTCTTTCCTATATCAGGATCATTGTAAGAACAGATTGTCAAGACATCCGAATAAGTAGCACAGTCTTGACTATGTCTGAGCTGCATGAATACAAATGTATTTAGATTCACAAGCTGTACAGGAAGTGAGTGTGGGTAAGGAGAAAGTTTTCTGTCTCCACTATTATTCTGGGTCATCTTGCATCCTGGCACAGCTCTAACTCTCTTGGCTCACATTGGCAAACCTGTATATGTAGAGTAAACACTTTCATAAATTCCATACACATGAGCCACAACATTTCACCTCTCAACAAATTCATTTAAAAAGAAAAACAGGTCTGAGAAGCATTTTTGAGAGCCAGAACATAATATAAAATTGGCTTTCTGCATTTTTCGAGTGTTGATAAGCAGGATTGCTCTTGGTCTTACTCCAGGCTAGACATCCATTCTGACATGAGCGGAAATAGAGAGTGCAGCCATGCAAAGCAGCCAGGGCACTCGCAGTTCGTAGGGCAATATTTTACATTTACAGAGCTCCTAAAGAAACTGCACACCTTGCTATACGTACCCTGAAAGATGTTTGTGAGAGAAGAAAATGTACTCAGGGTGATTTGTTCATTTATCTGGAGCTAAAGATTTTTCAGTCTTTGATACATTAGTCGTAGGGGAGGGAGGTAGTGTGGAGAGGGTCCGACAGATCACATACATCAAAGATCAGGCCATGATTGGGAGCACTGCAGACATGGGCTACACCTGATACAACTGTCTTTTCAATGATTAGCAATTCCAGGGCTGAAATGATCCCAATGATTATAGAGAGGGTGCATGTTTAAAACAGAGTGGAGCACTTGGTGTATTACCACATGACATCACAAGGTGGAACAGAGTGTTTTCTGTTTCAGAGACAAACTAAATGCACGGCATGTGTCTGTTAAACATGTGTGAGTGAAACAAAACACAACTCAAGGTATGTTTTGGATGAGGAAACAACAAGACATCATTATAAGATAGATCAGAAAACAGCATAATATGAATGCTGTAATGAAGAATTATTCAGTGACCATTTAATTAAAGTTAGCGTTAGGGTTAGGATTAGAATATTTATTAGAATATTAAATCAGTAGTTACTAAGCTTGACTTGTTCTTAATAAACTATTTGTTCATGGTGAATTAAGTCTTTTTTCATACTTTATTAAGGGCAATGAGGTGTAGTTGTTATAAAGTGTTACTGAGCAAGTATTACCACATAACAACCCAAAACAAACTGTGATTGACTTTCGAAGTAGCAAATTTCCCTACTGTTTATTTGAATGTGTACTTAATTTGTAAAATGTTATTCACGATAAATGGTCCAATCAAAGTTTTGACATTGCGAGTTTTGCCAAAATGATTCTTTATGCTGTCAGGTATTATTATTACCTTTGAAGTGTGCCTTGAAAGTTAACCACAGTATATCTTCAGAAGTGCATAAATAGCGTTATAATTGTGTGTATAGATCTTTTGTTCCATTACTGACAGGTGCCATGGGAATAAGGTCAATCAATATATTTACCATACCTGTCAACAGTTCTGTTGCTTAAATGGTTAGTCCCACAACGATCATGGAAGACCAGGGTTTACAACTCATCAAGCCCTAAGCGTTCAAAAGGGAGGGTATCTGGAACAAAGCAAACAGCAGCAATTTTTTACACATTTAGCAAAAAACGGTCTCTCAGAATAAACTTAGCAAATAAAACATCATTTTCATCATTCCAGTCTTTTCCAATATCCCTGCACAAGTCCCTGATGTCCTGTGTCTCTGTAATGATCACTTGTTTATAAAATTTCATAAACCCTACGACCACACGCTGGCTCACGTTTTTATTGCTTTCCTGCCAAAAACAAGTTTCATTTTAGCCCTAATAAAAACTTGCCATTTCTTCTGAACTTTGGTAGTTTTAATAATTTGTTCCGTATGAGGAAGGAAAGGTTACCAAAGAGCTAATTCCTATGCAGAACATCTTGACACTTAGGCAAACTATTCCCCCGAACAAACGTATTCACCTTAATTAAAAGTCATAGCCTGGTACAAAACTCAAGACACCTACTTTTTTCAATTTAAAAAAGTGGTAAACATTGACAGCTCTACCAGAAAATGTAGTCATATTTTTCCTACTTCTCTGCGTGCTGCTTAGTTCCCCTCTCTTGTAAGTGGTTCTCTGCTGCAAAAACAGTCATAGATTAACATGCCCTAAGTGAATGTGCTAATGCTGCACATTTCTTTTGATTACAGCGCGAATGGACGCCTATGGGATCGAGCACATGGGACCAGGGACTCAAGAAATGCTTTAACTATTCCTGCGCGAGTTAGTAAGCTGCATAAATAATGAACCTACAGAAGCATATAATGAGGCAGAGTTAAGAGAAATACGTCAGGATCATTGACCATTGCGTTTTAAGCTGTGTGTTGGGTGGATGACTGTTCCCATACGCCGGTACAACTTCACAAATCTGATTTTCTCTCACACATTATTCATAAAGCTGAGTATGTGACATGCTTTGCCCGAGCCGATTTGAATATTATCTCATTCACAAAGTACTCTCGACTTGGAAAAGCAAAGGTGGGCGCTGCCTACTTCAACTGCATCTACTGATCCTAAGGGAATTTAGGCGGATTACTAGGTATTCATTCCCCTACCAAAACCCTTCTCCATCCTCTTTTTTGTACACTGCATGAAAAGTGAGAGCTACGCTGAGACAATTCAGAGCCTGGTACAAGATGATAGCGTAATCTTACTACGTGCTGTATAAGGATCCATTATAAAGCTCAACTATCTACATGTTAAGACATTAATTGGCCTATCATGGCATACAAATAATTACGCTGGTAATATGAGAGTTATCTCGTGGCCTCCCAGTGGGTGGAGAGTGTTTGGGGTCAATCTAATTTAGAGACTCAATGGAGGAGACACACATTTAAGAAGTTCAACAGGAAAACAATCTGAGCACACACAAGCTGCAAGCATGATAAGGCGGAGAGTGGGGAGGCGGAGAGGAGCCCAGGGCCTGGTTTTATCACATTCTGTTTAAAGTTATACACGGCTGCAGACTGGGAGCACCTTGTAAGAAGACAGTAGGTTTTGGCTGCAGTTCTGTACAGCAGTGCCAGAGCTGCCTCACAGCGTGGAGGTAAGTGAAGGAGGAGAGGTGTTCCAACAGTCGGGGGTTTGCCAAGTCACAGCCAACCTTCATTTATTTACTGTATGAAGGGTTCAAAATAAAATTATTTCATTACCGTTAAGAGGAATGTTAATGGCTATTATGATATGATGTTTAAACTTCAATTTATTAGCATGGCATGTGAAATCAAATCATATTTAGCCTTTTTAGGTAAACAGTGATTAGGTTCATTGTTTTGGAAGTGACCATTTCTCTTTCTTGTCAGGTCTTGGTGGGGGGGGAGTGACTGAGTGAGTGGTGAGTAGAGGGCTAATGACACAGATTGGCAGATCACAGATCAGTCTACCTCAGGGCAGTTGTGGCTACAATAACAGCTTACTACCACTAAATGACACAAACAATTGTAAAGTGATTTTGTACGTCTGGAAAAGACTAATGCTTTAATATTAATTTGTTTATTGCAATTTATTATAATATTATATTATATTTCAAATGTTTACGTTAGAACTTGTTTTTGAACTCAGCCATAGTCCTTCAGCACAGAGAGTACTCTTCTGTGTGCCAACAGGAAAAGCTCTTGCACCCTCTTCACAGACACATGATCAGAGAAAATGCTTTTAGTGTACTGATTATTTAAAAAGCTGAGTTATTCAAGTAGAATGTTACAAAAAACAACATAAAAGTTGACTCAACATAAGTCTACCTTTGTCTAAGCTCCAACCTGAAGACTATTCAGATAGTCAATAGACAGTACTCCTACCCTTTCAGTGGAACTCTGAAGGTGAAGTAATAAAGCTTATTTACATGTAGGTGGAAAAGGGAATAGAAAAGATGTACTCTGGCCTTGGACAATTATGCAACGTGCGGAACTGTGTTGATACAAAGTGAAGAAGCCACTTGTGCACACAGGTGCCCTTAGGTGAATTGCTGTATAGTCATCCTACAATAGAATGTGATGGTACCCAAACATTCCTCGGTATTCTCCCAGTCTCAACCTATCGGTCTCACTAGTACGCTCTTACATAATACACTCACGCCTAATTAAACACATATTAGAGGATGTCCTGACCAGTGCATTATATCTGCTGTCATCCACTACAGTTATAGTTACACGTCAATAAGCAATAGGCCGCCTAGTGACCAGAAAACATTAGCTGGAGAGATGGATGGTACATCTTAATTGTCCATTTTCGAAAAAAAAAAAAACGGCACACAGCAAGTGTGAAAGCAGTGTCACAGCAGAAATGATTCTTGCCCAATTACAGCTCTGAAGTGGAAGGAATTTGTGAGCTGATCTGTTGCATATGATTGACCCAAAGCATTTAAAGCAATTAGATGCTAAAGATACACCAGCGCCTTGAACTAAACAGAGCGGGGAGTGGAAGACAGTTTTTTTTTTAAAATGTAGTTGAGAAAATTGAGTGTTTTTGTGCATGACGACATGGGTTAATGGAAGAATACATTTAAGGGCATACTGGGGGCTCCTAGCATAATGCAAATGTTTACCCAAACACTTGAGCAGAGTGCGATGAGCCAAATATGAATCTCATTTACATCACAATATCTGGTTTTACAGGAGAGGCTGTGTTTAGGAGGCAGGGAGAAATAAGGTCAGTTCAGGTTCAGAACAATGCTTTTTCTGAATTATCCTGAATAACTTTACTTGTTAAATAAATAGTCCAATCTTGAATAAGTAATAACCAAATTTTACAGTAAACAGCTGAACTGTTTGGAAGATTGGCTTTCAAACCAAGTACCACCAAAGAAAAGATTTGGCTTTGCAAGTACATTGAGATCTAAATCAAGTATGTATACCACATCTAGATTTAAACCAGGTCTAAATGTGGACTACATAATTTCAGCTGTATTTCTAAATAAGAAAATATCCAAAGGAAGACGAAAAAGAGGAAAAACACACATACTGAAGAGCTGCCCATGTACCGCCTGATGAGAGTACACCAGTTTGAGAACCACTGAAGAATATGAATAACAATATCTTCTTATTTGGATTAAAACATCTTTATACTAAAGTTGCACTCTGCAACTTTTCTAGTCCTCATGATATGTTATTGCTTTTGCCTGGAATTTTACACAGTGTGGTATTAAATGTACTGCATTTATTCAGTAACAGTTTTTTATTGCTCAACAATCCATTTTAAAAACATGTATTCTTGCTGTGAGCAGGGTGACCTCTCCACAGATCTGACCAGCAACATGGCCATATGGTGTCAACAGCCTTCCTCCATGGAGTTTATTTAGTTTATTATATACGTTTATTTCCACATTACACATTTTGGCAACTTTAACAAGCTGGGAAAAGTTACTTTGCTAATAAGATCCACTACCTTATTTACAATACTTGAAGGTATTTCCCCTCAATTCTGTGGCTTCGGGGCAACAACAAATGTCTTCCAGATTTGCCTGAGGCTGCATTTATCAAACGACTCATCTGCTCCTAGCTCTCTATGCAAATGTGATCTTTGGATGTGTAGCAGTTTTATTACCTTCAAATATCCGTCATTTACTTGACAGCATACCTCAAACAAATGCACATTTAATGGCTCAGTCTTTAATGAGCAATTGAAAAATTCATGAAAGATGACCATTAGGGTTTAAGTTGGACCGAGGTTACCTTGCCTACGTGCGCTGTTCCTGTATTAATAGGCTCCTAAATGTGTTTGCCACACCTCTTCAAAAAGATGTGTGAATGTAATGAAGCTCAATATGTGCCGTTCTGCCAGTTCTGTACAAAAATGCCATTGCTTGACTGTATTGGTTCCGTACACTTAGAATTTGGTATCATAATCTGAAATGGTGGACAAAAACAAAAAGAGAAACCCTCAAACCTTGAACCTTTGTTAGTAACTGGCTCCACGAACTTGCGGTATTAATCTCATGATTTATAATCCTTTCTGCAAAGCAAGTTCTTAGTTTATTGATAATGGAAACAAATGTATTCTGATTCTTTCAACTGACAACAATCACACCTTTGGAGTGATATAATGGTGCCAGTGAAGTTATTGTGGAAAAAAATACTTCACTTTTATTTTTCATATACAGACAGAAAAGATTTTGAACTGTATGCCAGTTTTTATTTCATTTGGAAAGGCCCAGGACAGAGATATCAGACATAATATCAACAAATCTGCAATCTAACAATCTCCATTTTAAACTGAGGATTCTGCTATGTTGTGACGTCATGTGAACACAACCATACTGATACACTTCAACACCAATGGTAAAATGACTGAGAGTGGCAGATTTCAAATCAAAAAGTGAGACACAGAATGTTGCTGACTGATCCAATGCGCTCCAGCTGCAGTTATGAACTTCATGTCACACTATAATTGCTTTCACACTGTTTCTGGGTCAAGCCGCCTGCAATAAACGCAATCAATGGTTTGGTTGTGTACAGTAAACAAAGCTATCCAATCAATGGGAACCAGGGCAGTGCACAAAACATCTGTAATGAGAATAAAGCATGCCCTGAAATTCTGC